CAGTGTCCGTGTCTATGCAGACTGCCACAGAGGAGGAAAAAGCCAAAAGCAAAGCAACAGTGTCCGTGTCTATGCGGACTGCCACAGAGGAGAAAGGAACCAAAAGCGCCATCAGCATCTCCACACAAACCATCACTGAACCAGAACAGCCTAGACCAGTAGCAGTTGCCCCCATCAGAAGAAGAAATCAAAGAGCAAATCAGTTCGCATAGTGACTGACGAGGACATGGCAGGACCTTCACACACAGTGGAAGAGACAGAGCCAGAAATCATCACTCGCTCTCTATCCCTGGGTGAGCTGCGTGACCTGCGGAGGGAATTCACCCGCCAGACAAATGAGTCCATCCTGACCTGGCTGCTCCACATCTGGGACGCTGCAGCCAATGACACCATTCTGGATGGAAGTGAGGCCAGGCATCTGGGATCTCTGTCCCGGGATGTGGTCATTGACCAGGGGATTGGGAGAACCCAAGAAACTCTCAGCCTCTGGCGGCGACTGCTGACAAGTGTGAAGGACAGATACCTTTGTAAAGAAGATCTTCAGGTGCACCAAGGAAAATGGAGCACAATGAAACAAGGTATCCGATGCCTGGGGGAATTGGCCGTACTGGAGATCATTTTCTCAGAAGATGAGAGATTTCCTAAGAGCCCAGACTGTGTCCGGTGCACGTCACAGATGTGGTTGAGATTTGCACGGCTTGGACCAGAGATGTATTCCCGTTACCTGGCAACGCTGCAGTGGAGGGAAGGTGAGGACATGGTAGGCATCTTGGCCAATAAACTAAGAATTTATGAGGACACTGTCACAGCCCCATTTCATACTCATGTCTCATCCGTGGAAACAAGGCTGGTGGAGCAAGTCCAGAGCTTGATTGAAGAAAGCCATCAGAAACTGAAAAAACACTTCGGAAAAACAATTACCAAATCTCACCTGGTGAGACTTGGAGTCGACCACTAAGATTCTAGAGGAGAAGCTACAAAGGATCTGAAGCCAATTACACTCCTACAGAAAAGGAAATCTTGGCTGCCTATGAAAGAGTTCAAGCAGCCTCTGAAGTAATTAGCACCAAAACGCAGCTGCTTCTGGCACCTCGACTCCCGGTACTGGGCTGGATGTTCAAAGGAAAGGTTCCTTCCACCCATCACGCCACTGACACCACATATAGCAAATGGATTGCCCTCATCACTCAGCGTGCCCATATTGAAAATCTGAATCACCCTGAGATTCTGGAAATAATTACAAACTGGCCTGAAGGTGAGACTTTTGGATTGTCTTCTGAAAAAGAAAAAGAGCAAGTGGCACGTGCTGAGGAAGCCCCACCATATAATGAGCTACCGGAGACTGAAAAACAATATGCCCTCTTCACTGATGGTTCCTGCCAAATTGTAGACACTAACCGGAAATGGAAAGCTGCAGTATGGAGCCCCACACAACAAGTTGCACAAGCTACCGAGGGACAAGGTGGATCAAGTCAGGTTGCAGAGCTAAAAGCCGTCCAGTTGGCTTTGGATATTGCTGAACAAGAGAAGTGGCCAAGGCTCTATCTCTACACTGACTCATGGATGGTAGCTAATGCTCTGTGGGGATGGCTGGATCGCTGGAAAAAAGCCAACTGGCAGCACAGAGGGAAACCCATCTGGGCCGCTGAAATTTGGCAGGACATTGCTGCCTAAGTAAAGAGACTAACCATGAAGTTTCGACACGTGGATGCACACATACCCAAAAGTCGGTGCTAATGAAGAACATCACAACAACAAGCAGGTGGATCGAGCTGCCAAGGTGAAAGTATCATAGGTAGATCTAGATTGGCAGCACAAAGAAAAATCATTCCTAGCTTGTTAGGCCCATGATGCCTCTGGTCATCAAGGAAAAAATGCAACATACCAATGAGCCCGTAACTGAGAGGTGAACCTTACTATAAACAGCATCTCACAGGTCATCCACAACTGTGAGACCTGTGCCGCAATCAAACAGACCAAGTGGGTGAAGCCTCTGTGGTACGGTGGACAATGGTCAAAGTACAGGTATGGGGAAGCCTGGCAAATTGACTACAGCACCCTTCCCCAAACCCGCCAGGGCAAGCGCTACGTACTGACCACAGTAGAAGCAACCACAAGATTCTGAGAAACCTACCCTGTGCCTCATGCTACTGCCCGAAACACCATCTTGATCCTAAAAAAACGAATCCTTTGGAAGCATGGTACTCCTGAAAAAATTGAGTCAGACAACGGAACCCATTTCAAGAATGGCCTTATCAACACCTGGGCCAAAGAATATGGTATTGAATGGATATATCATATCCCTTACCACGCGCCAGCTGCCACAGAAGTTAAACGGTGTAATGGACTCCTTAAGCCTACCCTAAAGGCACTTGGTGGGAAAACCTTCAAAAATTAGGAAATTAACTTGGCCAAAGCCACCTGAATAGTCAACACCCAAGAGTCCATCAATCAAGCCAGTCCTGCCCACTCTGAACCCCTGCACATAGTGGATGAAGGCAAAGTCCCTGTGGTACACATGAAAGGTATTTTAAAAAAGACTGTTTGAATTAATCCCACTGTCAACAAAGGCAAACCAATCCATGGGATTGTTTTTGCTCAAAGACCTAGTTACACTTGGTAGGTAATGCAGAAAGATGAGAAAACCCATTGTGTACCACAAAGAAACCTAATTCTAAGTGAAAACTGTGTGTAAGGTTTCATTCTGTATTATATATATATATCTGTAAGAGGGTATTGGTTTGGGTATGATGTAGATGGTAATAAAATAAGGGGTGGATTATGTCCTGGGGTACAATGCAAAAATGTGTATTCGATCACCATCTGTTGAAATGTGGGAGGGGTGGTGATCCTTATCTCTGTGGGAGATATCCTTTGCTGTTGTGCCATCTGATAAAATGGGGGATGATCATAGTTATCTTTTCACAACCCATCCTTACTCCAGAAGATATCTTCTGTTAATGGGCCATTAAATCCTACTGTATGACTGATAAAATTACATCATAAAATTACATCTCCCATTGGGAGATGCTCCAGCCTCCAGGGGGAGGAGCCAAGCCTTTCCTACCTAGGTAAAAACTGAGGTTTGGAACACCAAGGCAGCCCTTTCCACTGGATCCCAGAGGAAAGTTGGACCTTTTCCACATCATCACCGGACCTTCAGAGGAAAACTGCACCTTCTACAGGACAACTGCTTCAACTGAACCACATCTGTCATCCAGGAGGACTGCAGCCACTATTTAATCGAACTGCTACCAACACCCTGACTGACAGGGTGTCAGGTTGTATTCTGACTCTGTCGGTGGTTTTCTTTTGTATTATTGCATGTATTTTATTTTTTTCCTCTTTTTTCCTATTAAATTGTATTACTGACTTGAAGTCTCTCACTGGTTTTGCTTTCAAACCAGTACACCTTGTTACACCACCATGACTGCAACAGGAATTTTACTCCAGCTTGTCAATTTAGGTGCCTGTCCAAATTTCAGATTAGCTACCCTTTTCTTCAGCTGCTGCTGAATGTTTGCACTGCCTGAAGTCTTTATCTACTTAGTTGTAGCTGGGAAAGCTCCTTTACCCTGGTATTACTGCTGATAATGCTCTATTCCATAACTTTGCATGCAGGTATATCCACAGAAACACAGACCAGAGCGTGGAGCAGCCTTCCCATCTCTGGGATTATTTCCTTAGTTCCCATTCTCTCTGGCCCAGCTAACATTACATACAAAATGAAACAGCCTCA